AACAATATTTAAAAAACAATATTTTCTCAGTTTTTAACAATTTCTCATAAACAGCTTTCTCCTTGATTTTCATCAAAACATCAAGATAACCATGGAAGTTAATGACAAAAATTCATCAATATGAAAGAAAAAATTGTAATACATTTTTTTGTAACACCTATTGCCTAGTTCATATTCCATACAGGTCTTTTGAACAGGAGTAGAGGTTTATCCAGTTTCCTGTTTAGGATTAGGTTTCTAGTTCCTTCTAAAGTATTTTCCTTCTCTTTCACTTCCAGTAGCACCTTTATTCACATCTTAGTGGCATTATCACCTTGTTTGGAGTAATTGATTAAAAAAGAAAAAGTGGAGGTAAAAAATTTTTTGCCATCCACACACATATATATATATATATATATATGCAGCATTTCATTAAAGAGTACACACACCAAATTAAGAGTTGTCTATATAGAAAGTTTTAGATTTTAAAATCTCTCATATTTAATAAGTGTTTATAAAAAAAATATACTCTCAATACTACAATTATTATTTCTGTAGAGCATTAACATTACAAAATTTTTACTTGATTTAGATAATTATCGTAATCTTTTATTTATTGATTTTATATATGATCTTTGATCAGATGTAGGTTTGGCTTAAAATTAAAAAAAAAAAATGTTTGATCATTTGATCAAATGTAGGTTGAGTCAAGAATTTAAAAAAAATTGACATTTGGTCATTTCATCAGACATATATTGGGCCAAGAATTTTAAAATTCACTGACAAATTCTCAGCTCAATTTACTTCTGATCAAATGACCAAACCTCAGAATATTTTTTGGCATGAGAATTTTCAATACCACCTCATGCTGAATTTTCAATCATTTAAAAAAATTTTAAAATATTTTAAGAAAATTTAACAGCAGTCATAATTTTAATTGTGAGACATGATCCCAAAAGAAACTTTTAAAAAATGAATCCACTTCTATTCTCAAGTAACAATATTACTGTAATCCAAAAATACAATTCATGATCAACCATATTGCATTTTCTTGGATTTAATATTTTCTTAATCCCTCAGCTGTTTAATTTGAATTTTACAAGATTTAGCATCAATTTTTGTTGAGATTCTTTAAAAAAAAAAAAAAAAAAAACAAAAAAAAAAACAATGAAATTCTGAAAACTTTTCATGAATTTGATGATGACATCAATCTAGAAAGAAAATATAAGGATAATTTCATAGGAAACAGTGTTGGTTCTCTTGCATGTGAAAGAATGAAAAGTTTTTATTCATTTCAAAAATTCAAACTAACATCATTGCGTAATCCATCTTTCCTTGATTCACTCTTTTTTCTAGTGATCTTTGATCAAATTGTATTGTCAATACACAAAATCATACATAAAATAAGAATACTGATATGAATTTATACACTTAAATAACCTCTTTCTCTCTCAACATAGTCAATATAATCAATATTTCTTGGGTCTCTTTTGCATTGCTTCACCTCTTTTTTTTTTAAACTATTGTTAACCCAATCCAAGGGTCAATGAAAGTAGAGGGTTACTGAATGATGTTGTACAAGTGTAAGAAGAGGAGGAACCATTTTGTTATAGACTGTTTACGTGTATAAAATTCAGGAAAGCAAAAAGAAAAGGGTAAATTCTTTGGACAGATGGATGGAAAATAAATGTATTGGTATTCACTCACCTCATAATAAGTATCACTCTTGAAATCTTTGGTGTAAAGAATACACACGGGGTCAGATTTGGAAAACACATCTCGATCTCTTAAATTTCTGGAAGAAAAAAATAAAAGATGGAATAATAAATTTCTGATAAGGAAAAATGTCTCCAGTGAAATAAGTAAGCTAATCTTATTATGTAGTACCCAGAAAAATGGTTTTTTTTGTGACTTTCTGCTTAAAATTTATATTCTTGGCACTAGTGGTTTATTTATACATTGAATGACATGTGAAAACTTTGTAATAAGGACTTAACAAAATATACTATAAAAAAGTGACAGTATGAGTAAACTAGTATAAATATAAGATTCTACTGGACAGAGTGGGAGACAGGTTTTCTATTGTTATTAATTAATAAACTGATCCACCTAGTATTACTACATATAAATATAACAATTATAAAAATATATTGAAAGACACATTCGAAAACATTGTAATAAAAGTAAAGACTTAAAATATTGTCATTTTTATAGCATGTAGAAACTAGTTCATACATATATATATATATATATATATATATATATATATATATATATATATATATATATATATATATATATAAGAATGGATTTTTTTTTTATTAATCCGACAGATTGATACCCTGAGGAAAGCAGGTTTAAATCCTGCCAAAAAGAGCACATTTTTTTTTTAATAAGATTTCTTGAACATTAAGGCTCAAGTCCTCTGGCACGATGACTTGTGACTTCATGCTAGCACAGCTATTGAAGGCCCCAAGGTTTCCGTTTACCTAATTTCACTTACAAGGCTTGGGCCAACACATGGTGTGGTTTTCAGGCACTTTCCAAAGATGCCGCACACTGGGATCGACCCCAGGTCTCATGCTCAGAATGCAAACATTCTAACCACATGCCTATATATATATATATATATATATATATATATATATATATATATATATATATATATATATATATATATGAAATTTTGTTTTCATAAATACTGTGCATGTGTGTGTGCCCATATAAAATGAAAATAACTAAAAGAAAAATTCTTAAAGATAATCAATATTCAGGTAAGAAACAAGAAAATCTGATTTTGTAAACTAAATTTTTTATTAGACTATTTTTAATGACGAAACCCGATTATTTTTTTATGCAGCCACTCCAAAAGGTCCTGTTCCAAAGACCTGGTCACTAAGCTCAAAGTTGTACTTGACTGCTATTTCAGGTATACTACACATGTAATGTGTTTGTGTCAACCAGCTTCCAATCACTTTTGCACCATTTGTAACATTTCTATTTCTAAATGTTTATACAGTATTGTACTGAACAATAAATATAATAAATACATTTGAAACTAAGTTCTTTATTGTGTACATTATTTCCAATTGTATACTCTAAATTCAGTATGAGTAAATTTTTATTTATGCATTTAGCAAAACCTCTGATCAGGAGATTAAAGGTTTTGAGTAGCATGGAACCAGCTCTTAATTGCTGTTGCTCCCAGGTCCACCATAACCCAGGGTGGTAGCACCTGTTAAGGTCACAGCCATGGGCGAATAGTCAATCCCCCACCCAAACAAAAACAAAGCCCTATGAAAGTACATTTTATCTGTAGTTGTTGGCATATAACTGCACTCAAAATATTTAGATTTTGACATTAATAACTCATTGAGGTTTATATGTCACTAAACAAAATCAACCATCCAACCCAAAATATAATTTCAACAAAACTACAACATAAAACACACGTATAATATAATTTCAACAAAACTACAACATGTCCACACAAACATGTACAAAAGCTGAGTATCTTCTACCATATATATTCAATTGTGAAAGCAGAATAACATTTTTATTATTTCAAAGCTTCCAAGAAAATTAAATTTTAGCATCAAATGACCCATAAGGGGTTGATGTGCTGTTAAACAAACAGATCAAGAAACAGGAAAAAAATCACAATCAAAGTTTTCATACAACATACAATACCGACTGGATGGATTAATTTTCGTTTTTAATTTTATAGCTATTCATAAGTCCAGAAGGTCATTAAACAGTTCGTTAAGTGAGGAGTGGCACTATTTCATAAATGGATTGGATTGTTTATAAATTTTTAGCATTACAGTTAGATAATTTCTTGATTTCATGCCTAACAGAAGAGCCATTATTTTTTTTACTACTAAAGTTTGAATGACATTTCTTGAAAAAGTGAATAGCTTAAATACCTTACCAATATATTAACATTGAATACCAGAGAAACTAAAGTTCAAAATGGTTAGTCATAGGGAAATGGACAAGAAAGCTTAAGAGTATGTTTTATTTTTCCACTGACTTAACATAAAACATGTAGTTAGTACAGGAAATTTGAATTCAGTTTGATGATTAAGATTTCCAAATATCAAGCTGAAAAATTACTCTTTATATCTCAAATTATGCAGAAATATATTTGCCAAGCATGTAAATTTAGAAAAGAAAAATATTACACTGATATAATATTAAAGATATATCTATAGATAAGCATAAAAAACATATGCAAGCCAAATCGATACTTATCCACACAATATAGATATTACTAGCATCCAAATCACATTTTTTGTAGTTTCACCAAAAGAAGCCACTTTTTCCCCTGAAGCTTTGGTCTGCTTTCTATACAAAAAACTCCTTTGAGGCCAAAATACAAGGAACTGTCAATTAAATAATAGGTAATCCCAGTGCAACTGTCAAAACCAGTATGCATGGCATTATATACCTTTTCCACCTGCTGCCTCCAAGAATGAGAGCAACAAATAAGATCCAGTTTTGGGAAGTTTATGGATTCGATGTACCTCTATTTAGGAGACATAAAGGTAGAAACATCTTTGCATTATGCTGTACCTGGAAGAATGTCACCAGAATATACAAACCTGACAAAATCCTTAAGCAAATCTGATCTGTTTCTCATGTACATGAGAAGAATCAGTAAAAGAAATATTCTATTCTTTTGCTTCAACCATATATCAACACAACTATAAAACCTTTGTAAATAAATCTGCCCCTCAAAAAAGCATACTCTAATAAAAACAAAAAAATATGGTATTCCTTCAGTAATCATGACATAAGATAAATGAAGAAGCACCACCTGAAATAGGCTTTAACAACATTCTGAATTACAACAGATACCTGACAAAGACAGGAAGATAAATAGCTGAAACATTATGGGAGGTGGGGGAGTTGATTAATTGATTGTGATTTTTATGGCTTATCAACCTTTTGCAGATTATTTAAAGTCAGAAAATATTTTAAGATTATATTATCCATTACATCATTCACACATTGAAACTTACTACACCTGGTATTCTCAAGTGGTCACCCATCCAGGTACTGACCAGACTCAATATTGCTTAACTTCAGTGATCATATTAGAACTGGTGTTTCAATGTGATATGGACGTAAGCCTGATTGAGGACAGAAAGAGACAAGGAAAATCTATACAATGATTATAACTTCCCCCCCATAAACAAAATTCAGACATGAATTACCATACTTCTAGCATGTTAATCAAATACTGATTACTTTCAGATTTACAAAGCATTTGATTATATGCTATAGATTAAATTTTTCAAAACAATAAACTAAAAAATTCATCTTTATTTTAGTTAACAATGTTATTCATCTATTTTGAAAATTTAGAAATAAATTATTTGGCACTGAATTAAAATTACTTGGAATTGATTAAACACATTTGAGAGAATGTTCATTTTTTTTTTTTTTTAAATGAAACTTTCCGATATTCTCATCTTTAATCATTTAAAATCAGTGGTGGACTAGCTGGGATGTCAGCTTACCAATGGCAAATAAGCCCCCTCCCCTAACCAAATGAGTCCCCCTACATCAAATAAAAATGCAATATAAAAAAAGGAAAAAAAACTCACACACAAACAACTGTTTTAATAATAAAAAAACTAAGTCCAATGTGAGGACATTTTCAAAGCTAAACATCATAAAGAAAAGGTTAAGAAATTCGCTGTCTGAGGAGAATGTGGAATCATACATGTTACCCACTGAAAAGGAATTGTTAGATGAATTGGATGTAGAAGCAATTATTGGCAGATTCAAACAATCATCTAGTGAACACAGACAATTGCGTTTAATAGAGGACTGCATGCAATGCTCTATTATGCTTTTGATCTGTTAATGTGTAAATTGTGCAGTAAACTATTTAAAAATATAAACCAATTACTTAAGAATTTTTAAAAAAATAAATAAAAAATTCAATTATAACAGTCTGTATTTACATTTGATATTTACTGCTAATTAATATGTGTGTACTTAATATGTAATTACTAAGAAATACAGATTTTTTTTTCTAAAAAATTTAATTGCACCCTTTTTTCCATGTATTTTTAAAAAATGTCATTTATTCATTATGAAAATTAAATGATAGCATAGTAGTTGTGCATGAGCCTCTGTTTCCTGGCAACCAATATTTTTAGACCCAGTCCACCATTGTTTAAAATTGTTTGATGAATCAGGTTTTTAATACTCTTTAAAGCATTGTTTAGCTACCTTCAAAAGATAGGAAATTTTACATCTAAGAAAAAATTCAAATTAGAAAAGTTAAAGCCATTTGTGATGGGCTTTAATTTTTCATATGAATTAGTTAGGGAGATGCCAAAATATTATAAAAGTTGTGTTTTTGGAGTTGCTATTATAACAACATTTAAAGACAACTATATAGGTTATATGACCTTAAGAATGAAAAAATTACCCTAGATAAGTCATTTAGAAAAAGGCCATACATGTGGATGCAGCTGTTAGTTCCATTTGCAAAATTCCCTATCCTACCTAAATATAAAAAAGCTAACAGCTGAATAAAATTATTTTCTTTCTGTTCACTATATCAAAATTTTGTCAGATTTCCATTCTACATAAATATATTTTACTAGTTGAATACCCACCTACACTAGGTAAGAGCTCAATAATTCCAAAACTATTTCTTAGTATTGTAATGGTGAGCTGGAAAAATGCTTACTCTTGAAAAGTAGTCACACAGAAATTTTAATACTAAGATGAAAAAAATGAAATGTATCAGTAAAAAATATATTATTGACATTATTTATATTTGACAAGGTTCATCTTCAATGAAGTCATGCACAATGACATTTTAAAAGCAATTAGTGTCATAAAAAGGAAAAATAGGTTTGTTTTCTTGTTAAATTTCCAATGAAGAAATACTATTAAATATAGAAAATACAATGGGAACTGTTCTGTGAAATCCCTTTTACAAAGCACAATATGTTTCTTGTCAAGACAATAATAAAAGAGAAATTATAGTCTTACACTAAGAAATAGTCAATATTACTAGAAAAAGATATTTCTGAAAACAGAAAAGAGCTAGACTGACCCTTTCCCAATGATAAAAAGAATTTTGCATAAAAACTTTCTCCTTGGTCCAATAAGTATGCAGACCAAATTTGAAAATCCTATATAAAATGGTTTGAAAGTGTATAGTGAACAGATAAGCAAACATTTTCATATATATATATATATATATATATATATATATATATATATATATATATACAACACAGGTATAGGTTTAAAAATTTAGGTATAATTAAAAATATATATCTGAATAAAGACAAAAGGAGAACTTAGCTAATGCTAAGAATATGGACTTTATCACGGCAATGTAAGAATTCAGAATTTTTAAATTTAAGAACATAAATATACTTCAGTCTAACTGAAAGTCAAGGTAAATAATAGAGAATGCTAAGTGATGTAATTTAATGTTTAATAAATGAAAGTGAGTAATTTTTTTTTTTTAATAATGTAATTACTTTTTGTATGTTAGTTTGAGATTAATTTATGTATATTTTAAATAATAGGTTTTGAATTTAATAGTTTCTTTTAATTAAATTTTGTTAAAACACCAGTGCGTGTATATATATATATATATATATATCAAAGTATATAATTGGTATACACGGAATGAATTCCAATAAACAACAATTACTATTCTTAAAAGAGTGCTCAATACAAAGTGGAGCAGATATAATTATTTTTATAAAAAAATTTATAACATAAGTATGTTATAAAATCACTACAAAAATAGCCATTTTGTTTCAACACACTCAGAGTGTGTTGAAACAAAATGGCTATTTTTGTAGTGATTTTATAACATACTTATGTTATAAATTTTTTATAAAAATATTTATATATATATATATATATATATATATATATATATATATATATATAGAAAAAACAATTGGTTTAAATCTTTAAAAGATTTCCTCAAGAAGTTAGAAAAATTATATATGCATATAAGTGGGCACTGAGGTCGTCAGTCTTTTTCATGCTTGAATGAAATCTTAAAGCCATCATATATATATATATATCCACGGACAGACTGTTTACAGCTCTTCAGTGCGGCTAAATGTATGATTGCTTCAAGTTGGGATCGAAACCCGACCAACTTGGCATCAGTCAGAGATCCTACCCCTTAGGCTATCGTCACTCGCCAGAGAGAAAGGGAAATTTTAATGGTTTTCTGTACGAAATATGCCAGTAGAGCTCAATTCATAATTGAAGATCAATGCATTAATAACAATAGGGGCCACTGTTTTTAAGATCACTCTTTTCTCCAGAGATATCAACTAGATTTCCCAAGAGTATATATATATATATATATATATATATATATATATATATATATATAGTCATCCACAAGTAACAGTTTTGTCAGTTGATTGATGTTACCTTCAGCATCCCGAATCCAGAGTTTTACAGAAGGACCCTATGGGAATCACTCCATACACAAGAGGGTAACAGTTTATAATATATATATATAAAATTCTACAGAAAACTAGCCCACATAATACAGACCACTTGAGAAAAGAACTTAAAACTTTTGAAGGATCATTATCTTAACATTACCACCACCAATACAAAAGTGATTAATTTTCTCGATGTAACATTAGACCTAGATAATAGTTACCATAAACCATACACAAAAGAACTACATAAGCATAAATACATTAGTAAGATAATTTGTATAATTCACTACAAGTGAGATTATACAGCAACAAAGAAATATTTAATAATGTTAATGATAAATATATTAAGACTTTGGAACTTAGCAATCATAAGGTAAACTTAAAGTATTTGGATAATAACAAAGATGACAATACAAAACAAAAACACAGTAAATGCAATATCATATGGTTTAACCCACCTTTTAACCATAATGTCCAAATTAATCTTGGAAAAATTTCCCTAAAATTAATCCATAAGCATTTTAACCATTAATCAGAATTAAAAAAGATTTTTAACAAAAATTATGCCATAAATCAGTTAATTGCTGCTCTAGTAACATCAATAGATCTATATCACTACACAACAACATCATAGTAAGTAAACATCTTTGCATCAAACAAATTTTTCCAAAAATAAATGCAATTGCCAAAAAAATACAATCTGCCCACTAAATGTTCAATGTATGACCAACAATGTCCTACATCAAGTGTGCATTCGTTCCAGTAGTAATGTTAAATTTTATTTTGGTTCTACTTAGAATCCATGGAAGCTTCACTTCTACCATCAACTTATGACTCTGGCTAATATTAAATACAGAAAGATCACTGCTCTCTAATAAATATTTCTGCACTTGAAAGATTTTGGCAATTCACCTTCAATTAAATGGAATATAATGGCAAGGAAAATAAATGCAACCTATGGTTAGTTTAAAAAAACAATTATCCTTACAACATCAAATAACCCTGAATTACTAAATAAGAGAAAAGAATTGATGGTCACATGTAGGCATAAAAATAAATATCTACTTAAGCACAGACCCAGATTAATTTTTCTATATCATGGTTTAATTTTTAGCGTATTGCTTAGTATTTATTTATTTTTCTATTTGGTTATTAACTTATTTAATATGTATCATGGATTATTACTTATTGTTTTTTTTAATATATATATTTTTTATTATAAATATTTTATGGTTTTTAATAATTTTTATAAGTTATATTTATTTATATTTATATAATTTTTCTGTAGTAATGTTATTAATTAGATTAAATTAGCTCCCTTCCATTATATAAATAATTAAAAATTAATAGCTAATAACACAACTAAAATTAAATAAAGTAAAATTAATAATTCATAATATATACTTATCTTTCATGCTCATATAGTAATACCAATTATTTTAGTTACCAGATTTCATGTCATGAGAAATATAATTAAAAAATTTTTGAAAAAACAGAAAAAACTTGCCAGCATTACAATAAACCAATATATTTTTCAAATTATATACAAATAACTCAGCACCTGAAGATTGTGTTTGGCAAGAAACTGAGTCGTGCAAATGGTGTGGGATTATATATATATATATATATATATATATATATATATATATACACACACACTTTATAGCTCTGTTA